TCTTTCTTTCTTTCTTTCTTTCTTTCTTTCTTTCTTTCTTTCTTTCTTTCTTTCTTTCCAGAACTGGGGCTCTGTTTCCTTTTCTGCCTCATCCTCTTCAAGTCACGTCTACCATTCCTGTGGCCTTACCGTCTTTTCAGTCAAAAAACAGTGATTTTTAATAATGTGTTCCCTGTGTCTTTGGTCAAAACTGGTCAAAAACTACCAATAAAAAGTTTGAAAGAGCAGGATTTATGCTTCAGGAAGCAATTATTTGACTTGCAAAATATAAGGGGGTAATGTAAAAAAGTTAAGCCTGCGTTAGAGTAGTAGGTCTTACCTGCAGCATAGAGATCTGCATTTTATAGTATCGGTTGGAAGGATCAGGAGCTGAGATGATAAGAAGTCGTCGTTTCTCATAGAATTGATCCAGGAGACCAGCAGCTGAATTGACATTGACATTAATCTTCATGGCTAAGGTAGAAGTGGATAGCCAGTCAGAGTATGCACTTCTTCAACCTGCAAGGATAACCTAACATCTCAAGGCATTCCAATCATTTGGGTTAGCCCTTCCAGTCATTTCTCCCTTCCCTGAGGAAAAATTCTGGAAAATAAAACCTGGATGACTTTAAGCCTTTCTTCTTGAGGTAGGAGTATTCTATGGAAGAAAGCCCTTAAAATAGAGATATCGGGGCCAGGGAGACGGCTCGGTAGAATTAGCCCTTGCCTGGCAAGCACAAGGGCCTGAGTTTAGTCCCTGGTTCCACAAAAAAATAAAAATAAAAAATAATAAAGATATCTCAGAACTCCCATTCTTCATTATGTACATTGCTATTGGAATCCTTTGCATGGGAGTACCCTCCAAAGTAACTTTGATCACCATATCCACATGCCCAATTTCCCAGTTTCACTCACGAGTACAGGTAGGTGGTGATCCTGACCACTGGCGGCTGGACTGGCAGACTCGGGAAGGAGTTCCTTGCCGCTCATAACCGCCATCACAGTGGTACTCACAGATGGCACCATAATTGTTGCCTGCTGAGGTGCAGGAGAGGTAACCATGCTGAGGCGGTTTCAGAATTGGGCAGCGTCTCACTATGAGGGAGGAGCTCAAATTAGGTGTAATCATGTATCTCGTAGGTAGTACAGGCTAAGAAAGTACCCACTCAAGGCTATTTAGAGCAGGAGACCTGGGAGGATGAGAATGAAGGGGATTTCTGTGTTCCCAATGGCCAGGTAGGGAGCCAGACTTTTTTCTTGAAAAACTAAATATGAAATACACACAGAGGTTTACTATGTCTTAAAACACAAGTGAATATATTATCATCACAAGACTATCAACTTATAAAAAGACATTGTTATCTATTTCAACTGACTTTCTGGGCATCCCATGTAATGAAGACCATTTTGTAGAAATACTTAATCTTTTTTTAATTGTTGTTTTGGCTTCTTTTTTTTCTGGGGTGGTGCTGGTGGGAATCAAACTCAGGACCTTGCACTTGCCAGGTAGACATTGTGCCACTGAGCTATATCCCAGCTAGAATTGCTTTTATTAACATAAATAAATCAAAGGAATTGTAATAACTTGGAAGACCTAAATAAATCATGACAAGGCCTTAGAGTATATTGTTATGCTACAATTGAAAATATTCCTGAAGAAATTTTAAAGAACGTGAGAAAATTGCTTGTGATAGAATGAAAAGTGAAAAAGAGTGCTGTATGATTGGAGATAATCCAATGACTTTTAAAATATGTCTGGAGAAAAGATGTAGAAAAATATCACAAGGTTAACAGCAACCACCTGTGAATGATGGTCAGTTTTCTCTTTTATAATATTTCTTTATTTTTCAAATGTATAGTGATGTGCAAGATTGATTGATTGATTGATTGATTGATTGATTGATTTGGCTCCGAATGCCTTCAGGGCAGGTTTGGCTGGCTGGAGTTGTGGGGATTGAACCACAGCAACCTAAGCCTGACTGCTTTGTTGAAGCAGCCACTTAAAGAACTGAGCTAGGGGGCAGGCCCCCCCCCAAGAATTATTTTTATAATGAGAAAAGTAAAACCAAAAAATGTGATACAAAGCAAGGAGGAACAATCACGCAGCCAACAAACCAATTTCTGAATGAAGTTTGATTAAATTTGATCATTTTGAAGGCCAATAATAAAATGGATGCAGAATATTCTTGGTGAACTTTATCTAGATTTAAGAGAATGAGAAAGTCCTGTGAGAGAGTTAATTTTTCTCTAACTTGTGTACGTACGTGTAATGTAGGCTTTCTGAATGAGCCTCCTTCATAAACTTGACCCTGCCCCCAATAGAAGTGAAGTGTGCTTCAGGCATAAAGAAGAGATCTTTGGGGGCTTTTGGAAAATCACAGCAGAGCAGGAATAATGAGCAGTATGGCAACTGAAGAGTTCTTTCTGACCTTGTACTTTCACAATGAACTTGCAGCTGGCCCGGTTGTAGGCTGTGTCATAGGCAGTGTAACGAATCACATGCTCTCCTTCAGGAAATTGAGAACCAGGTTCAGGGCCACGAAGTATCACCCTGGATAAGACAGGGTGAAGGAGCTACTGAAGAAAATGATACTTAAAACTGAGGTCTGAGACACATACTCATGGTAACCTTAGTCTGGGCAGCAGTTTCAGTGTGAGAAGCTGGAGGGACTAGGAGACGCAGGTTGGATGAGTGCCAAGTGCTGCTTAAGCTCACCTGGTGATGGTACCATCTGCAGAATCTTTCACAAGGGGTGGGTCCCAGTATACTCGAGCAGTCAGTTTCTCTGGCTCTGCCATCTTCTCACGTGAATGGGGACAACGGATCTTGGGGGGATCAATGTCTGCCATGGTCAAAAAGCGAATGCTGATTCATGGGTCTCCTACCTTCCCTAGAGGGATCTTATTGAAGCAACACCACACACTACAAGGTAGGTTAAAAGTTCAAATTTTTATGGAAACTGGGGAAGTAAACCTGACTTTAGGGAAAATAATCATTTTATTAAGCATAGGCTCACGGTGCCACACTCACAATGAATAGGAATGCTTTCTGCAGCTAGAATTTCACATCTTTGGGTACATAATGGTAGGGTGGCTCTTTGCAGCAAGTCAATTGGGGGTAGTCAGCATTTACCTACACATATAGGCTCGCCTCCACTCCATCGTCCATCTTCCATGCAGATTCGGCTGCGATCACCTTCTAAGTGGAAGCCTCTGGAACAGCTGTAGTCACAGCGGGAGTCAAGAAGCACCCCATTTGTGCAGGTGTAGGTGCCGCTAGTGATAAATGGTAGTGCATGGCATCTTATCTCTAAGAGAGAACCAAGTGGCAAACACAGTGGTCTATAGGACTGTTTAGAAGTGAGGGTTGGGCATTTAGCGCAGGAAGAGCCATATCAAAGACAGCAGAAACGGCAGCTGGGGGTTCAATTCCCAGGCCTTCCACGCTGGCCCCACTCCCAGGGCACGCTGAGATGGCAATTGAGACTGGGCATAGTGGCACGTGCCTGTAATCCCAGCTCTTGGGAGGCTGTAATCAGGTAGATCACTACGAGTCCAGTCTAGTAGTGAGACCCTGAACAGCCTGTAGACCCTTCCCTAAAAAATAAAAAAAGACAGCAGAAAATTCAGAAACCTGACCCAAACTGCCCTGAGAATTTTGTCCCTAACTGCTATTTTCCCTAATTATCTTTTTATTATAAAGTGCAGAAGCACTATTGAGAAACAGAAGGTTGTATCAAAGAAACAAATTACTTGTCCAAGCACATGAAGTCTGAATCAGATGTGAGCATTCATGCCAGCTTCACCTCTTACTTGATTTGTGACTTGAAGCATTGGCTCATCTCTCGTCTCTCTGTCTCATTTGGGTCCCATTGTTTTTAGCAATAAAATATAGATACCACACTAATTGTATGGATTCAAAGAGATGATACATATAATCCTTGAGGACCATTTAGGGCCTCAGCAATTATTAGCTTTGTCTCTTTTTCCTCAAATGCTTATATGCTCTTGAGCATGTTTAATGCTTGTTTTTAAAATAATGTTTTATTAATATTAGTGACAGAATTCAGAAAAAAACAAAAAGAATAAAGAATAAAAGTAACTTTGGGGCCAGGAGATAGCTCAGTAGAATAAACACTTGCTTGGCAAGCACAAGGTCCTGAGTTCAATTCCTGGTACCGCAAAAACAAAACAAAGAAAAAAAACTGACTTTCAGCCAGCCAAATAGCTCAGTGGATTAAAGTTCCTGCAAGCAGGCACAGGGCCTGGGGAGGGGGAGGTTCGATCCCTGGGCCTGCCATGCTGGCCCCACCCCCAGGGTGCACTGAGACAGCAATTGAGATTGGGTGTGGTGGTGCATGCCTTGGGATCCCAGCTCTTGGGAGGCTGTAAACAGATGGATCACTACGTGTCTGACCTAGTAGTGAGGCCCTGAACACCCTGTAGACTCTTCCCTAAAATACAGATGAAAAGTAACTTTGATTCATTAAAATCAAGAAAATAAACATAAGATCTTTATGTTAATAGGTAAGAAACAATTATGTATAAATCTCCTTTTTTAATATAATTTTGGTACAGACATTTCTTCACTGAGACTGCCTTACATGCGAGAGTGGGCTAGCTTTCTATCTGAGTGACAAAGGAAGTCAGGCCAGTGCCTTGGGGACCAGGTCATGGTATTTGATAAAAGAGGATCATGTGCTTTAGATATTATATACACCAGAGAACTTTACCATAAACTCATTGTGAGTCTGTGAATGCTAGAATGTTAAGATACCTGATACTTAAAATAAATAAAGCTATATACTTCTTTAGATTATCTAAATTCTAATCCTTTCAACTCAACTGTTGATCATTTGAATAAAGAGTTTATGTCAACCATGTTGATTTGCTTTTTGGTCAAACCAGACTAGATTATTGCCTTTTCTGTTCCCAGTATCTGTTTTGAAAAGACCTATGCAAAAATGACCACATTGAAATCAGAGCCAAATAAAAGGTTTACCTGTTCAGGTGACTGTTTGCCTAATGTTATATGACAGGGAAGACATAGATCCAAAGCATTTGCTCTTTGTCTCTTATGAGGAAGGTCAAAAGTAGATTTAGTACTCAAATATAATAATCAATTCATTCTACACACCTGGAGAAACATGTGTGTTTCTATTCTTTTAACTTGTTTTATGTTTGTTTATAAATTATAGCCTTACATGTCTCAATTTCATCAGGTCTATCTAAATTCATTTGGGAAAGTATGGGTCCTAAGTCCTAAAAGAACTTAATTACAGTCACCCCGAAGGTTGTAGTGACTTCCTTCTCTCTAGATATTATGAATCTCCTCTCCTCTGAAGCATCTTCTCTGACCAACTTCATTTTTCTCTGAATGCTTAGGATTTTTGTGTCTAGGGACATGACATGTGCACACATTCGGCTTTATGTCTCATTAGTCTATAAACAACCAGAGGGTTGTTGAAGCATGGAGTTCCTGAAATGACCAATGCAGGGCTATGCACACATGGATATCCTACAGACCGTATTTACTGATGGACATATGGACAGATAAAGCTTACTCACTAAAAGTAGATGGGCTGTGGACCTTGAATAAAACATAAGGATTTGGAAGCTTAATGGAGACATGATTTGGGATGTTTATGTATCAGCATCTCTATATTTTAGACTTAGGGTGCCTTCTTTCTGACTTACAGAAGAGAATGAAGAATAACAGATGTTTCATAGATGTACTGACTAGGCCTTCTAAGGTTATAGGCCAGGAAGTAAAGCATTTGAACACCAAGAGGATATTGTAGGACTATATATATTTGGGAGCTCTAAAAGGTAGCCCAGGTCCACATCAGGCCTCAGGGACAAGTCTTAGCCTTCTACATGTACTCCTGCATTTCCTGAGTCCGCAGAAATGGCTGCTACTAAAGTGCTCATTTGCTTGGACAGTGACCACAGGGACAGAAAAAAGTGGGATGCAAGGGTGAGGAAAGGCTTTGCAGGGACTATGGAAAACTTCCAGTTTGTACCTGGAAGAAGGACATAGTAACACCTTCAGAGGTATATTCTCAGTGGCTGGCTGGTAAGCTTTCCTCATGGGCACACATCAGCATGTGCACACATAGAACTTACGTCTGCAGTAGGCAGTTCCAGACCAACGACGGCTTGGCAGGCATTGCACTGACCTCTGTCCAATCAATCGAAAGCCACGGTCACAGGAGAGCTCACACCGTGTGCCTAGACTGCTGTGGTAATTCCTTCCCCTCGGTGAGTAGCATGTGGCTTCTCCATCTTGGATATAGAATGTATAACACCACCGAGGGACTGTATGAATAGAGGAAAGGTGAGCTAGAAGTACAGTCATCAAGACAGTGTAGAGTTGGTGAAAGGGCAGCCACATAAATCAATGAAATGAAATAGAGTTCCCAGAAATACACCCACACAACTATGCCAAAATGATTTGTGACAAAGGTACAAAAACAATTATGTGAAGTTTTTTTTAAACAAGTGGTACTGCTGCATATATAAGAAACATAATCTAAGTCTCCAACTTTATACAAAAATTAACTTGAATTACAGAGTTAGATGTAAAAAGGAAAAGTATAAAATATTAGAAGCAAATATAAGAGAAAATCTCAGAGTCCTAGAGGTAAAGAAAGGAGTCTTAGACATGATACGAAAGCACAATTCATAAAATGAAAAAAAAATCAGTAAATTTCACTTTGTTAAAAGTCAAAATCTTTTTTTTTTGGGGGGGGGTGCTGCTCAGGATGCCTTCAGGGCAGGTCTGACACTGCCAATCAAGTGGAAGACCCAGTACTATTATGGACTACTGGACTATTTTGGCATATTTTGCTGATTCACACACCTATAATATTTAAATGATGGAACTAAACAAAAAAGGGGATACAGATGAATGACCATTTTGTATCTGTGTATTCAAAATGGTTAGGATAGATATATAGCTACATTCTCTTAATTCAATGAATAGAAGGATTTGTTCTAATAGTGTTTGTAAATAGGATATCATGTCTGCATCTTGTACATCAAATAACCACTAGAAAGACAGTATGCTGTGTGTTAATTATTTAAACTGTCCTACTAATTTGATTTGAAACTGTCTCATTGCTATTTGTCTCTTAATAAAATTATGAAAAAAACCCAAATAGCTGAGCAGATTTAACCCCTGTTTAGGCAGATGCAGGCAGTGGCTGGGGCTTGATTCCCAGCCTGCTGTGCCAGCCCCGCCCCCGGGGCACACTGAGCTGGTAATTGAGACTGGACATGGTGGCACACACTTGTAATCCCAGCTCTTGGGAGGCTGAACACAGGTGGATCACTACAAGTCCAATCTACATAGTGAGATCCCATAGACCTTATAGACCCTGTACTAAAACACACACACACACACACACACACACACACACACACACACACAGAGTCAAAATCTTAGGGGCCGGCCAAATAGATCAGTAGACTAAAGTGCCTGTTTAGGTGGAGCACAATGGCCAGGGTTTGATCCCTGGTGTGCTGTGCCAGCCCTGTCCCCGGGGCGCACTGAGCTGGCAACTGAGATTGGGCCTGGTACTGTGCACCTGTAATACCAGCACTTGGGATGCTAAAAACAGGAGAATGACTATGAGTCTCATCTATGTAGTGAGACCCTGGAGACCCTGTACCAAATACATAAAAAAATTAAAATCTTCCATTGTGTGCAAAGCACCATTTAAGAAATCAACAACAAGGCACAAAGTAGGAGAAAATATTTACAAATCACATATCTAGGAAAGGACTAACAACTAAAATATAGTTAAAACTATCAAAACTCAGCAATATAATAGCAAGCAGTCCCGTTAGAAGATGGGCGAAAGATATGAACATGTGAAAAGATGTTTAGCATCATTAGTTTCAAAGAAATGTAAACTAAAACTACAATGAGATGCCACTAACATACCCACTAGTATGTCTAAATTTAAAAAGTAGTTTCCATGCCAAGTGCTGCAGAATATGGAGAGAAACTGGAAATGTCATTAATGCCTAGTAGAAATACAACAACAGCCACTTTGGAAAATGGTTTGATAGTTTCTTATAATGGCAACAGCAAATGTTCTTATGAAGAGAGGTACACTTTCTGTGTGATTCTGCTATCCCACTTAAGGTATTTACCCAAGTGAAATGAAAAGTTGTGTCCATACACAATTCTGTACACAAATGCTAAAGTACTTCTATTAATAATTGCTAAATGCTGGGAACAACTCAAATGACATTATGGGTGGTTAAATTAACTGAGGTTTATCTATTAGTTTCTTTTTTCATAGGAGAAAATCTTTTTGTCTATATCTTTTATTATGAATAAGTACTCTGAAAATGCTGTAGAGTATATTAACTGCTGTTATTCTCTTATCATTTTGTTATGGGATTTTTATAAAATGAAATATATAAAAAAGAATGAAATACTTACATGTGCAATAACACAGATGAATCTCAAATGAATTTGGGGAAGTTAAGAAAGGCAAACTCAGAAGCTTACATACCATAGTATGTATTCCAATTATATGAAAAAGTCATAGGGACATATACAGGCAAAAATACAGGGGCAGATTACAGATCAGTGCTTGTCAGACACCAGTGGAAGTGGTAAAGGATACCCTCAAGGGGCAGCACTGGGCAAGTTTTAGAGATGATGTGACTGTTACGTATTATAGTGGTAGTTATTTCACTCAATGCTTTTTTTAAAACTCACAGTACTGGGCCAGGGAGGTGGCTCAGTAGAATAAGAACTTCCCTGGCAAGGGCATGAGTTCAATCCCAGGTTCTACAAAAAAAATAATAATAATAAAAATAAAACAACTCACAGTACTCTACATCAAAGAACATACATTTTACTAGAGGACATTTAAAACAAATATTTTTAAAATAACATGAAAATGTAAATTTGAGAAAACAGATGTGACATCAAAAAGTCTGTTTAAGAACAAAAGTCTAATCCCAGTTCAGTCCTGAGCACAAAAGGTTACAGGGCCATTACAACATAAAGGCACCATAAAAATGTTTTATTGGCTTTACACAATGAATGACTCTTCAGTGGGTTCGAGTTTTAATGGGACATATATAAACCAGTGAAAGGCCACCTGACCAAAAATGTTTACATAGCATGGCACAGATATGTTTGCCTAGGCTTAGGAAAGCTAAAGCATCATGCAAGCTGATTTGATTCCAAAATGCTAGGGAGAAGAAAGTGGAGCTTTACAAGAAAGCGCCCCAGAAGCTAGAGGACTAGAGGAAGACTTGAGCATTTGCTTAAATGTAGTTTCAGAATAAAGAAAGATGACACAGGAAAAAGTGTTCTTCAATCAGCACCACACTTGGGACCATCACAATTAGGTTTGATCTTGCGGCAGTGACAGGACTTGTGTCTAGAGATACGAACTCCAAATTACAAAAAATTTCCTATGCATTATGTTGCAGAACTGTTGATTGTAAGGCCGTAATACATCACAAAGACCTCATATGGATGGCTGAGACCTAAACAATCACTTCCATTTTGTTTCTCCTCTGTATTATGTCAAGAAAAGTACATATCTGATTAAAACTGATAGAGGAAGCAACATGGTAAAAGGAAATATAAAGTTCAGGGCAACTATTGAGGCAGTAAGAGAGGCCAACCCATTGTACATAAGTTTAATTTTGTTGGCCCAGAGGAATCTTGGCTTAAAGGCAAAATACTGGAAGGCTGGAGAAAAGCAAAAATGCAATC